CTAATTGATCCTTGACTTTCGCTGAAGGATGAGAGTGTGAAGGGTTTGATCAAAACAGTGCACTATTTTGGCCAACATTAAATAACAAAGCAAGCTGTAGCCAAGAATCGAAAACGGTGATGAAATTCTGGCATTTAATGATTCAGTGTGGATCGAAAAACAATAATCGCACTAACCACAACTCCCGGCTATGCACACGAGTACTGCCAACTATGGTAGGTGTGTGTGGTTGTCTGTCAACCGCGTCTTCTAATTACTGTGCCTCTTGTGTCCCTGTCAGTCTTTTCTAAGACTGTGTCTGATTAGGGTTTTGTGTGAGAATTTGAAACGCCAGGCTAACAAAGCTCTTGTGTCAGTGATCATGTATCCTTCTTCTCGACTGTGACACATGTAAACAGTTGCGAATCCTACAAAGTTAACTTACGGTTTTCGGAGGTAAGGAATGTTTGTGATTCGCAAATAATAGTCGGAAGTGTGATATCTGGAGTGGCTCGTAGGCCGGCGTAGACTATAATCAAACTAGAGAATTCCTCTGTCTACAAGCAGCCAGCGTTTACAGTGAAGTGCAAAGCGATGTTAGCTACCGGTACAATCATGGGGAGCATCCTTTACTTGCAAATCTTCAGTTTTAGGCTGCAATCATAGGGTTTAGCATGGGGATTCCTGTAGGAGGCAGATGCGGGGAAGTCAGAAGAATCCTTCAAGATTATGTGTCCACAAGGTTACACCGAAATAATGCTAGGTTACTTAAGATTATCCAGATACTTAGTGGCCATCCTGCAGACATTTTACAAATTTCTCAATATGATCTTCTAAGGGTGTTTGGCAAAATATCACAGGATAAAAGAACATTATGAATGTGCAGGCCTCGCAACCGCATTGGTAACTCGGAAACGTCCGTGATGTCAACGACCGTCGTCATAGCATGAAGGGCACTTAAATTACCTGTCCATTCGGACTTATCTGTCGTAGATAGTAGTTCCTCCCGCCAAAAATTCAAAATGTTCCTCACTCGACGCTGATTGTAAACATTCATGTCCACACTGTACCGCATGACATTCCATCCTCTATGCATTTTCCTAAACATAGTTTAGTGTGTTCTTACTAAGACTGTGGTCAACTTGTTGTAGGTGACTTTTTGGCGTGCGTAGCAACTTTGTCGGCCTACCAAGGAGACATTCAAGCGAAAAAGAAGAAAGTATGCCCAGCTTTTCGTGCTTGTAAACATTGTTGGAAAAAGCATAGTACTACAAATAATGTACATCGTCTGGCCAAAGCCGTACAGATTCCGAAAGGAATGATTAAAATGACGAAGACGTCGGCAGTATTGTAAACACTAGAAAGATTGCGAGACGATCGTAACCTAATAGGAACAAATAATTGCGGGTGAATTAGATCTGCATAAGAAGGCAAATCCTGAACTTCGACAGCCTCCATCTTTTTTGATTGGAAAATATTGCCGGGTTTTTGCGCAAATTCACGGCTCAGGCTTCAACTGCTGGATCCAAATCATTCTGTAATAATGCTGACGACCGGTGAAGACGTTCTTCAATCTATACAGCGTGGGCTACTGACCCACAGTCCAATACGGCTTTTTACCGTAGGTGTACTAAATCTCTGGGCTTCCAAAGCAGTTATAACACTCAAACCATGTTACACCAAGAGCAGAATGGGGAAACGTGAACTTTATATTCCTTTTCTGACTAGTGTGAAGTCACGGCCGAGACCTTACCTCCAACTGTTCTCAACAATTTCGCGATGTTTACGCTATCAACTGTAAGCTCACAAATATCGTCGGTTTATGTCTCACAGTATGACTGCTTATCTTCCGACTTCGGTTGTCTTTAATAAATACCCATTAGTAACACAGTTTTGACTATGCTCTACTGAAGATAAGCCAAATTTTCTCATACTTTTACGATATAGTGATACATCACATGTGCCTTATCTAATTACTGCCTACGGTACTGCACGTGTGCGTTACGAAACTCGGGGAGCCATAGTGCTCCCGAAACATTGAGATAACATTCATGCCTCTGTTCCTCCCAGATAGTGTTCTTGCATGTCCTCTATAAGCCTTCTTAAAAGCGGTAACCGTGTTTTGATGCGATACGTGGGTACATGTGAGTCCATAGTCTAACCTCCCTCGCTAGTACTTCTTCGGCCGAGTTGTTGCAGTATTTGTTCAAAAACTCTTGCTTGGACATAACAGATTCGCCACAACTGTGGTTTGGACAACAGTGCACGTCCAATAATTTAACCATAACTTGGACGAAAATCTTGATGAATTGATGTTTCCACCCTTACTTCATTATTTCCTGATACCTCCTTGTAACTTGTCACAAAGACCGTCTCATGGGCTCTCCTCCCAAACTCACAACAGCTCTTTTTTCAAATCACCATTGATTGACAATAATAGGGAATGTCCGCAGCGCTCGCAGTTAGAACACCACACCATCACATACGCCACCTGAAAAGGTAACTGATTTCCTCATGAATGGGTCTCGATCAGCATCGACTGTCTTGCTTTGGCAACGATACCTCCTCGCGTGTGGTGAGCGGGAGTGTGTATATTGTGCGCACTGGTGTCAGTCAAGAAAAAACCGCATTGACGTCCATGGCGTCTCGTCTTGGATTTGTAGACGACGCAGGCAGCGAAAGTTCATCACGTGACCGGTAAATTTTACGCCATATTCTGACAGTCGCATGGTTCAGTCTGGAATCTACATGTCGTGGCAACTGATCGTACAGGCAGTTTTCGGGTAGTAAGTATTAAGAACCCGCTACTGGGGATCTAATGCCTTCATTCCAGACCAAAGGAGTTTAAACAATTTATTTACCATTTAAGTTGCAGAATCACTGTGAGATTCCGTTTCCAGATTTCACCCACCATATGAAAAATCCTGACAGGAATTTCAGGGCCTAGTCGCCTCTTTTGTACCAACATAGTTTTACCATGCTTCCAGAGCTTGTACTTGCAACGAAAGGTATACTTTATCCTTAGATTTCACGAAACAGTTTAGCTCCTTGGTATTAAGCGTTTACTGACTAGTATTGATGTTAATATCAACATTTTATATCAAGAAATTGTTTTTTTGCAGGTTCCTCTTATTAAATAATTTCGTTACTTCTCAACGTGCTTTGAACCGGTTGAAGAGATGAACTTTTCTACCGCGTTAAGACTCAATGACGTCGACGACTACATTGCACCAGCTCAGGTAATTGCAAAAAGTTGAAAGCTTGCACGATTTCCTTCACAAATATATTGAGTTTATCGATTTAGACATTTAAGCTTGTATTTTCTGCTGTTTTTTGGCGATCACTGTCCCTTTTATGGGGTCACACACTTATTATACATTCCGTATACATACTAGCCTTACCCTTTAGTTAATAATTTTTATTTGAAAGTTGCATGACAGGTGCCCGACTCAGAGTTATTTGAACACGCGGGTGGTTTTTGATTTTAAGTAACTTCGTCCGAGCCAGCTATAACATACACGGAGCTGAGTAACTGCTGATGAGATAACTGTTTTCTTGGCCACACCTCATACTACGACGGGTGGTTGCATGTTACCAGTGTAACATCAAGGCAAAAGGAGGCGGTAGTGAACACCGAACCTTCCGTCTCTTGACAATCATTTTGCCCCGCTTAGTTTAAGGTGGCGGAGTAGTTCAGCCGAGGAAAAACAGCCGCTTACTACACGAATTGCGGTAGACTTTCTGGCAAGGTGATTAAGGCACTGTATGATACGCAAACGGGAAAGAGAGACAGAGAGTATCAAATGAGCGCTATTGGAATCTGCAACACATTTTGACAATTCGCTGACTTGCCCCACCGTCCTCGCGGGAACTCGCTCAAATCAAGAGTCCATCCGTTTTCTGTTCAGGCACTGCGTACTTGCATCTATGTCAGCCTGTATCATGACCCAGACAATTTCTTACTGCTGTCTATTTCATTGGAAATAATCACCCTCCGTTGTGTCTGACCGTTGGCAAATTCCGTGTGTTTGGGCCAGCTGACTTTGGGCCCTGCTTATGTAACATGTTGGAATTAATCTTGCAACCCTGGGAACATATTATCGTGCGGCATAGGTGACTATGTGAAATCCATGTAAACAGAGTCAAATATTGAGGCAAAGACTGCGAAAATAACGAATGTGTACAATCGATGACCGTTTTCGTACAATTTTAATCAAAAGCCTAAAATACATTTTCGATTGTGAAGGAGGAGTGAAGAAGGAGTGTAATATTGGCTACTGTGCAACATAATCCCAAGAAATTTCGGTCACCCCAGAATGCCGGCTTTTCGATGCACTTCCTTGCAGCTCTCTGCATAAACGGCACTCGTTAAAAAAAACTACTTAAGTAGTAGATACCCTTATAAATTCAAATACAGTTTATGGAAAACGTGCACAAAGTATTCTCTATCGCACCCATGTAGTAGCAGCTTACGTCTCCTTTAAATTTTATACCAAAGAAGTGTTTTATCAATAATTTGGAGCTGCATTTGCGTTTTCGGATTTAGAACCTACAAGCTATATACTTTTCGTGCAGCCTTAGTCATACATTACGCCATTAAGAAGGCACCATCATATTTTGCAATGAATGTGAACTATGTAGTATGCTTGGTAAGGAGCATTTATAAACGGTCTGGTATGTTGCTATTTCACTTGCTCCTGTCTTCACTGTTGACTCAGGTCGTAAAACAGGACTGGATTTTCGTGCTTAGGGCCTCGGTAGTGTTGGATTGCTGGAGTTTTGCTACATCCAGACGTCTCACACGTAGCATTTTGCGCGCAGATAAGAGTTAAAACTGCAGGCGTGTACTAACGAGAATACGGTCAGATCCATGGGCGTTATCAGATTCAGCACCACGCATCGACCTGATACCGTGGGACCTTGAAGCGGAACCGTGAAGCAACTAGAATATAATCGATGTGACTGGCGGTGTGGTCGTCGTTTGAACACCAGGTCAGCAGATAAAGGAGGCGTGCGCTTGATACTACTAAAGTGTACTATCACTATAATTCACGTAATGTGCAAGTCACCGTCCCTGCCCCCGCTCTGTGGTGAGGCAAGCGACGGACATGGTCGGTAACAGCAATCAACTTGTCGGTTCCTGTGTAGATAGGGGCCAGGTCGCTTTTGGTATGCTTAGATGAGCTATTTAGCTTTATCATTTACTGTGTCTATGCCCAACTTTGGTAATTTTCCTATCGCAAAACGATGTTCATTCGAGTGTTGGTTGAAGTGGATTCAAGTAAAGTTTTATTCACCATAAACAAATTCGGGTCTGCGTTACCACTGTGTCCACATCTTAGGGCTGTTACGTCAGTCAAACCGTTTATGTTACTTTCCTTCCCTACCCCGAAGTCTCATCTTCTATTGGTCTTTTGCTTCTTGCTCTTTAGTTACGCAACAGTATTCAGTCCTGCTACGCATACCTATAGTATGCATCCATTTCTTAATTGACAGTTATATTGTCTTGCAATTTTCAGTCATGCATCAAACCTGTGAAGGTTCCCACCTCATTCAAACCTACCTCGATAACCATCGGCGATGACGGTTCTTACGTAGCAACGGACACTGTAAGTGCCTATTGCCGCCTTATTTAGATCCTGATTTAGGATGGTCGCAGGCACCTCCTCCCGAAGGCCAAGATTGATCTGAATGACTGTCTCGCCTGCACAGGATGTATAACTACGGCCGAAACTATCCTCATCTCACAGCACAGTGTGTCCACCTTCATGGAAGCCCTTCGCCCCAATGGAGTAGGTACCCGGTCAGATTTTCTAGCCCATTTCTCAAGTCCTTGCCTCCCGAACGTCAAGTCTGCGTGGCTCTATCTCCACAGTCCATCGTCAGCCTCTGTACGACCCTACAGGCCGATTCTGTTGACTTTCCTCGACTAAGGCGTGCTTTTGCGGACTGGATCGGCCCTGCGAATGCA